AACCTTGGGTTCCCTATCACCAGCTTTCCTGTCCCCTTCTGCCTTCTAGTCCTTGTCCCTGGACTGCTGTGCCTCATTAGTCTCGTTTTGTTATATGGGGCTGTCCAATCCCTGGCTGTTCAGCTCTTTTAGTTCATCATTTTTTCCATTCACTTTAGCTACTCTACATTCAAGAGGAAGTTTCAGAGTCTCTTCTGACATCCATTTTCGTCTTTTCTTTTCTGTCTTTTTAATGACCTTCTGCTTTCTTCATGTATGATATCCTTGATGTCTTCCCACAACTCGTCTGATGTTCAAAGGAGTGGCTAGTGTTCAATGCGTCAAATCTATTCTTGAGATGGTCTCCAAATTCTGGTGGGATATACTCAAGGTCATATTTTGGCTCTTGTGGACTTGTTTTAATTTTCTTCAGCTTCAACTTGAACTGGCATATAAGCAATTGGTGGTCTGTTCTGCAGTTGCCCCATGGCCTTGTTTTGACTGATGACATTGAGCTTCTCTATTGTCCATTTCCACACATATAGTCCATTTGATTTCTGTGTTTTCCATCCGGTGAGGTCCATGTGTATAGCTGCCGTTTATATTGTTGAAAAAAGGCATTTGCAACGAATAAGCCATTTGTCTTGTAAAATTCTATCATGTGATCTCTGGTGTCATTTCTGTTACCAAGGCTGTATTTTCCAGCTAGTGATTCTTCTTCGTTTCCAGCTTTCACATTCCAATCACCAGTACCAATCAATGCATCTTGATTGCAGGTTTGGTCAATTTCAGACTGCAGAAGTTGGTAAAAATTCTTCAATTTCCTCATCTTTGGCATTAGTGGTTGGTGTGTGTCTTAGTCATCTAGTGCTGCTATAACAGAAATACCACAAGTGGATGGCTTTAACAAAGAGAAGTTTATTCTCTCACAGTCCAGTAGGCTATAAGTCCAAATTCAGGGTGTCAGCTCCAAGGGAACGCTTTCTCTGTCAGCTCTAGAGGAAGGTCCATGTCATCAATCTTCCCTTGGTCTGGGAGCTTCTCTGTGCAGGAACCTCAGGTCCAAAGGATGCGCTCTGCTCCTGGCACTGCTTTCTTGGTGGTATGAGGTTCCCATGTGTCTCTGCTTGCTTCTCTCTTTTATATCTCAAAAAAG